TTGACTATCTGGAGGTTTTCCTCTGCATAAACTCTCTATTCATTCAAAATAAAAGTCTCTGATCCATAATTCACTGAATCAAAGCTTTTAATATTTGTAGTCATTTGCTCATCCTCTGACACGAAAAAACCGATTTCTTGTGGCTAGAAATTCTCATTTTATCGTGAAATATTCATGTTCAAATTATGAACACTACTGAAATCTGACATTGTCTGACACATTATCCGGAATTCTTCGCCCATGAAATTTATCCTGAAGAGATGAGATATTTGGCACAAGCAATTAGTTTTGTGATATTATGTACATATTTCACTCCGTGTACTTCTGTCAAACCAATGTTTTTAGGCTGCTGGTTCAGAAACCCTTTCTGCAAGTCCAGAAAGCCTAGAGGTGGGAAAAAACAGGATAGAGGTAAAAGCAAGGTGAAAGACTAAAAAGAACTCGGACGAAGCAAATAATGTTTCCTGTATTTATTATCGAAAGCGTTTCTATGAGAGTGGAGGAGAGTGCAGAGAGAAAAAAATAGCAGAAAAATTATTGTGCTGGCAGGGTAATTTTTCCGGGTCCGTCCAAATGAACCCATTTTACCGTGCAAGCACAGTAATTTTTCTGGTATTTTTTTCTCCGTATGAATTCAGTGCTAGACGTGCGACGGATCGACTAAAGGGCTCTAATTGATGATGACTAATTGGTGAGCAGTGTTATTATTGTTATTACTTATTGTATTTAATTTACTTTCTTGATACTTTATGAATTGAATTCGTCATAATAAATAATTGGACGAAAAAGATGTTCTACTGTTCCACCCGCCAACCCACTCTCTCTTTTCCACCCTCTAGTCCTCTTCTTTTCTTACCCTTCACAAGTCCCCCACCCATCGCCCACAATCCCTCCCCTCCTTACTTGTGGATGAATTTAGAAAGAGTAAATTTTTCTTTCAATGGTCCATTTTGCCCCCCCCCCCGGTTCATTTTGCCCCCACTTCCACTATCATAAGTAGAGTATTATTTCTAACATTATTATTTCTGACCCTCGCACCCGACTCTTATGATGCTTGATTGTAACTCTTATTTCTAACCATTCGTTTTGATCAGTATTCAATTTTGTGGTTTCTGACCCACATATTTGGCGCTTATATCTAACCTTCATGGCTCACCATCGTGACAACCCGAGTGGAACTCAGGTCTCGATCAGAAACTGATCAAGTCCGATCCGAAATTCTGATCAGGCATGTTACGCCTCTGCCTTATGTTTTTCAACTAGGGAAGTCCTCCACCCCCGTTTTTGAAGCCCTCCATCTATGAGACGGCGTTCCTCTCATATGAGAGTTCTCATATTTAGGACCTCTCCCGGTGTATGAGATCCTCCAAAAATTCGACATTGATTCGAGAATATTTCATTGTTAGAAACCATCCCCAAATCCGTTGGTTTTCATCATTCAATGCAAGATAAAAGTTGAAAAGAGAAGTTTCTAGAATCTAGAACCTCCTTTCGAGAAACTCTAAAGCTAATCGACTTTTGTGTCATCACACTGTCCGTAAAACGTCGTCTTAGTCAAACGAGAAATTACTTTTTATGAGATAATAATTGTATGAGAATTTGATGAATTCATTTCTCATATTCGTCAATGTTAGAATTCATATAAAAAACTGTCAGTGATAAATAATTTTTTTTTCGCATTTTAAATTTATTTCTCTTCGCTACACTCAACGACTCACGTGGAGTTTGGATATAATATTTTAATATGTAGTATTATGTATCACAATATGTTGCATAAAATCGCCGGAGATCAGATTTGATGCATTATCCTGACAAAATGAATTGACATGAATTCGGTTACATATAACAAATCAATTTAATCAGAGCCGATGACTTTGAATTTTTTTGGTTATGGATTATCTCCCTCCTGGGATGCCCCAGGATGGTGATGATTTGCAACTGGAGCGGCCGACCCAGCGGAGAGGTGAGGATTCTGAGAGGCCCTCACAAAAAATTTGGGCAAGAAGGGAGAGAGTCATCAGAAATTTTCGTGTCCGGCCTGAACATCTGGCATCTGAGAATGAGGCTCTAACGCCATCCTCCCGAGGAACATTGATTTGCTCGTGCAGCTTAAGAGCAAGATCGAAGAGATGAAGAAGCAGGCATCGCGCATTCAATGTGTGATTGATTTCGTCACCAATGGTAGGGCATTCACTGTTCCGAGGACCCGAGTCAAAATTTTACCGGGTCTCCCGACGTAGTTTCAACGTTTTGAACCTACATTGCTTTGATGTTCAAATTCTCCGCCGAATTTTTACTGTACTTTCAACTTATCTCAACGTGACGGCTCATGGACATTGAAAAACACTCAATATCCACCGCATTTTAAACGTACTCTCAACGTTAATGACGTTTGTTTTATGTTAATGTACGTTGTAAGTTTCGACGTCCACATTTGATTGTATCAAGGTCATTATTGACGATAATTAAAAAATTCATTACCGTGTTAAAGACTCACGTAACTAAATTATTAGTGTTAGTACATTAATAACATTAGTTTGAAGTTCAAACAATCGTGCGTCTGAAGCGTGAATTGGGTTCAAGGGTCAGAAGGGTTAGTTGAGTATAAGGATCAATTGAGTATAACGGTCAGATGAGTATAAGGGTGAGTTGAGTCCAAAAGATTACGCGAATCTAAGGGTCAGATAAGTGAAAGCCTCAGTTGAGATTGAATATCAGTTGAGTTTAAAGGTGAGTTTAGCCTAAGGGTCAAAAGAACACGAAGAGTCAGGCGAATCCAAGGGTCTGTTTTGCAAGGGTCAAATAATTAAAAACCTCAGTTGAGTTCAACTGTCAGTTGAATTTAAGGGCCAGTTATGTGTAAGGGTCAGATGAGTCTAAGATGAGAATAAGGGTCAAATGAAACTGAGGGTCAGGTGAGCCAAAGGTCATCTGACTTTTAACTTAACCTTTTCCTCATCTGACCTTTAGATTCGATAGACCCTTCGTACTCTTTTGACCCTTAGCCTCAACTGACTCGTAGATTCGCGTGATCCTTCACACTCAACTGACCCTTAAATCCGCCTGACCCTTTGTAGCTATTTGACCCTTAGACTCAAGTGACTCCTAGATTCGCCTGATCCTTCGGACTCAAATAACCCTTAGACCCATCTGACCCTTAAACTCAACTATCACTGAGACGCATCTAACCTTTAAACTCAACTCAGACATGTACTTATCTAACCCATACTCAACTGACCCGTATATTCACTTGACCCTTTGTACCCTTTTGACAGTCAGATTCTTGTGATTCTTCAAACTCGGCTGACCCTTATATCCACCTGGCCCTATGTTGAAGGTTTTACGCTTATTGATAAAAAAAACCATCTGGCCCTCATACTCATCTGACCCTTAGATTCATTTGACCCTTGAACTCAATTGACCCTTAAACTCAACTGACACTTGAACAGAACTGATCCTTAAACTCAACTGAGCTTTTTACTTATCTGACCCTTACTGAACTGACCCTTACATTCGCCTGACCCTTCGTACTCTTTTGACCCTTAGGTTCAACTGACCCTTAGACTCGCGTAATCCTTCAGACTCAAGTAACTCTTACACTTGTCGGATCTTCACACTCACTGACTTTTATATGAAGGGTCCGACCCTTAGACGCCTTAGACCTATATGGATTCTAATTCCCTCTCATCTCCTCCCCCTGCTCCTTTCCTCTTAATTTCCTGTATTACTCTATTGCCTACTTTCTTTCTGTTTTTTCCTATTTTTCTTTTTATTAGTTGCTTATATAAACCCGAAAAAAATACAACTCGCCACAAGCAACTGTACAGCTCAGAAGCATACCAGGATATCCTGCGATTACTGAGCTTGAGCAGTAACCAGTAAAACCAGAAAAAGGATGGATAACCGAAAGGGAACACGGCAGAACTACAAGCAGGGATATCTCGAAAACCAATGGACCGATCCGTTTTTTTTCCCATTTTTGTTTCACCGAGTTAATAATATTTATGTTTTTGCCATTCTTTCACTGATTAATTTATGCAAGATTTAATCAATTAATCAATGTTAGAATGAAACTGGTAGTGTGAAGAGGAAAGAGGGGAGGAAGGAAGGAAAGAATGTACGGTGGAGGAACGTTGGGGATACGTTTAGTTTCAACCTAATTTCAACGTACAATCTGGAAAAAATGGAAAAAAGGGACGGTATTTACATCGAAAGCAGGTTGAATCGGTGCATTTGAGCCTGTATACTGGACAACGTACTTTCAACGTCCTAAACCCACCTGTGGACCTTGAAACTACGTTGGGAGACCCGGTAAAATTTCGACTCGGGTAACTTTTGCGCGACCAACGGAGTGTTAAGGAAGAGGACAAGCGGCTCAAGTATCAACCGCTCCTGTTTGAGCTATTTAACCGGACCTTCAGAGTAAAATTGGTTGTCTTTATTTTTGGTTCTCGGGCGGATTGAAGCAGTTCTCCATTGCTGCGCTGGAAACCATCCCGGCCTGTAGGCGTAATGCCTTCATATTAGCTGACCAAATGCAGAAGGCTGTCTTAATTGGGTCCTTCCGTCTACTTAGGCAATTAGGAAATGTTTGTATCGGTTAGCTTGCGGGGTGGTGTTCAAGGTGAAGGTGGAATCCCCGAGGATCGCTCAGCGATATCATTTACGAGTAAAAAAAGGAAACAAAATAATAATAATAACAATTTGTCACTGAAATCTGGATAGATTGAAACATAGTTCGTACATTGCCTGACAACTATAATGAACGTCCTTAAAAAATTTCAAATCAATGTAATTTTTTTGTCAGAGATGAAACCCCTTAATGGTCAGACAATTTTGATATATTTCAATACAGCGATCAAACGATTTCGAGGTATTTGGTTTTGATATAAAATAACTTCATGTATCTTCTTTTATAAGTCAAATTCTAGTTACACAATGCTCACTTTCGTCATTTTTACTATAACAGTTGTCGGACTCATTTCTTAGTAAGTACTCACCGAAGGAAAACCAAACGTAGGCATAGGCCACATCCCGAAATTCTGCTGCCTCCCGGTATCTCATACACTTGGCATCCTTATAATATATGCCAAATCCGAATAGAGGTAGAGTTGTTAGAGTCAGAGCTCCGATCCATAGTAATAGCATACATCGTACTATCACTGGGAACGTGATCCGCTGTGAAAGAATGGATCAATTGTTTTATCATCAAAAGTTTTCATTACAAAGTCATGAGGATAATATGATAATGATTTAATTTATAAGAGTGCAAATCAGTATTACATTTTCGATGGAAAACAAAATAACAATATGGACTAGGTGAATCAATTCGCAGTATGCAATTTTAGTTGTGAGATATGTACCAAGCTCATATGAATCTCAATTTATACGGGATAGAAAACAGCAAAAATAGGAGATAAATATGGAAAGATCCAGATCAGAATTTAAACAGGTCACCCTTCACGTCGAGTCAGATTGTAATGATGTGAATTGATCAGGTCCTGATCAAACGTATACGGCCGTTTTCGATCCAAATTTGATGGCCAGTTTTTCAAGAAAATACTTCCTGCAAGCGCTCGGGATGTTTAACTCTTCGAAACGTGACACTCTCATTTGTTTGCAACGAAATTACCGGCAAATAAACGATTATTTTGAAGCTCTTCAGTCATTACTACTAAAAATGGAATGGAATTCAACATTTTTTGAGCAGCAAGGAGACAAAAATTGGCTAACTCACTTGAGTTTCCAATTAATTGAGTATTTAAGAATTTATTTATCTAAATTGTTCTGATTTCTTTTTTACGCTCGAAGCGCGCGGACGCTCCAGTTCCATACGGACGCCACGAAACAGATCACAATACGTAGATAAATTCTGTATAATTCATGAAAAAAGATTAAAATCGTCCAACAAATTGAGTGGCAAAAATTACCAGGAAAGTGATAATAGTCCCGCAATAGCAAAAAAATACTGAAGAGCATGCCACTGCTATGGATGCAGTTCATATGGATGGAACTAATCCTAAGCTCACGAGAGCTAACGCGGCGTGAGAGCAAATCTAGGAGCACGAAGTATCGGCAAAAGTTAATTGGAAAGGAAAAAGGAAGAGAAAAATGAGTGAGCAATACTCCCGAAAAACTGGACAGTAGTTTGAATACCCCCCTTTGAACACCTAGAAGACACAGGTCAGAAAAATTCAAATTAACGCCACCATTGTCGGCCCAAAATGTCCGTGTTTATTAACAGCAGTGCATCGCTTTGAACAAATTGTGTTCACTCAATTTTTGATTGTCTTATCCCTATTTTTATCCATTTGAATGAATCTATGAAAGAGACCGGGGTAAGGCCCTTTGTCACTGTTAATGAGCATGTATTAGGGCCTCTAATTGATCAAAAACAATGAAAAAAGAAATTATTATTGTTATTTATCGTTAATTATTCGTTGTGAATTATAACCACTCATCTGTAATTGAAATGCAATGAAATTGAACATTGAAAAAATTTGCTACAATTGAGATTCGATTCGGGGGTCTTCTGATCCATCGTTGAGCCATCTCTGAAACATCTTATGGTGGTCCATTTTTTCACGAACGGGATGTTTACCAACCTTACCTGTCTCCATCAATGCAATTATCAAAAATTAATTCAATAATGACTCTGATGAATTGATGGGTCAAGAATTAATTAATTTGATCATAATAAATGAGGATGCACCGAGAGAAGAACACATGATAATCCCATGCCAATCCCTTCAAAAATTAGTGTGCCACCCACTAGCTATGGGACCAAACAGGGCTCTTATATGGCACTCTAATTTTGAAAGATCTTACACTACTTTTTCGTGGGATTCCCTTAAAAATTCGGGTGCCAAATCATTCGAATTCTTTCGTAATCATGGTTTGGTCCCGTGGTTTAGCGAATAGCACACTAATTTTTGGTAAAATTTTCTCTCCGTGTAATAATGATTATGTGATCTAACTATAAGTAATCATAATCTAACGGGCCGATCTCATAGATGTTGGTATGCTCCTCAATTTTTGAAGTTCACGAAAAAAAAACAATGATAAGTTGATATTTAATTGAAAAATAGTGTACGAGTATCAAGTGGGCTGCGATTGAATGCCAATTGTCAGTCAATGATGGACTCGCCGATGTTCGGCGAGCGGATATTCAGCCGATGTTTGGTCTTCAATCAGTGCCCCGGTATTCGGTGGCCGGATATTGGACTGATGTTTGGCCAAATCCCAAATCAACGACTGTGAAGTAACAGAAAAAAACTTATGAAGTGAATATTCGGAAATGGAGAGAATAATCATATTTGTCACATCCTATGGAAAATAATGTGACCCATTACTTCCCAGGTAGGGTGAGGCAAAATAGTCGAACATCAGGCCGACATCGCCGCTGATATACCTGATTATCGACGACAGGTTTCGGCCAATGATCTACCTAACCACGGAGCGTTACCTCGTATCATTAATGCCGCTGAGCCCGTGTAGAAATTCAAGGGGAGCTACGGCTGAAACTCCGCTGACGTGCTCAAATCGACTCACTTAAATTATCTTTATTAATTATGGTGCGACATCTCAGCAATTTCCGCCCTCCTTCATCGCGAATCGACACAAATTACAGAACCCCCTCCCTTGCACAATCATCTGATCATCCGTAATATTTGAATGTCCGCAATTTTTACATTTTCTGAGGGAATTTTCATTAAAAATCAGAGAAAAAACTTTCAATTCTTAGTGTGATTTTCACTGAAAGTGGGTATGAATTGAAGTACATTCTCCTTTCAGCCACCTCCTTCGCCCCCTTCATGACTTGTTAGGAATTAGAGGGCCTCCCCCCTCCCAAGCGCGCGGTATACTACTTGAAAGTCCCCACAGATCATAATACAAGGCTGAATGGCTCGTGATTTAAGAACTCACTGATTCTTCAAGAACCAAACTTTGAGGGGATACACCATTGAATCTCGAAAGGTCTGAAATTGCATGAATTCGATGGGATCTCTTTGATCCGTTTATCTTCGTAGAAAAATGTTAAATGAACCAGTGGAGGGCGAGTATTGAAAGAAACTATAAAAACGATTTTCGAAAAGTTCTATGTGAGTCGCAGTTGATGAATTGAGATTGAAATAAAATGTTCAGAGTACCAACAAAGAATGTTCAGAGTACCAACAAAACTGAAGATGATGCATTTGTATAAGAGATTCAGTAAAGTGCACTTGTCAATTCTAGATATTTTGAAACTCGATAGTATATCCCCTTCAGAAACTAATAGTTTAATAAATTCAATTGATAATTATTAACAGTTATAATTATTTCAAATTATTTTACGCAAGAAAATCTCAAATTTGAAAACAATGTAATGCAATGAAGGGTATTCATTCCAGGACATGTGTAGCATAATCACCCTGTAATTTAACATAGTTTTATATCTGAAAATGGATTCCCTAAAAAAATAAATTCTTCTCGCAAGAAAATGATTTCTTGGTTTTTTTTTATTCATTTATTTAAGCATTTTAACCAATCGGTTTACTCTGCTGTGAATAATAATCATTATACAAATAATATACAGAAGCATAATTAATCGCATATAAAAAACAATAATAATAAGTTATTTACATTGGTATTTTATACATTTACTTCAATTTTCTTTAAGAATAGGTCAATAGCCATAATTGCTTTCATGTTAAGGGTACTGAGGAAGACTTTTACATCATAAGGTAGAAACATCTTTTCAACTTTCAGTTTGCTTATAAGTTTTAAGCGCTCATCAGAATACTTTGAGCATTGCCATAAAATTGATTTAAGTCTTCTTCAGGATATCCACATTCGCACTCTGGAGAGGCAATAACACCAATTCTAGCTAGAGAATTTGCCAGACTGTAGTGGTTGGCCCTTACACGATTGATCCAAGTCACTGTTCGACGCGACAAATTGTGCCCGTAAAACCACGGTTTTCTACCTTTTTTGTGAAACCATTGGAAGTATTCAATGGCCTTATCAAGTCTCATTTGATCAATCTTTTCTTGAGTGATTGCAAAAGCTTCATTTTTGAAATCTTCCCTGTAATCCGTAAAAGGTATTTTATAGTCTTGGTTGGCTTCTAAATTAGTAGCTTCATTAGCAAGTCGGTCTGCCTCCTCATTTCCTTCAATACCCCTATGAAATGGCACCCATTGAAATTTAATGTCATTATTTTTAATACTCAGGAGCTCTTTGGCGTTAAGAATATAGTTGCTTCCTCTGATATTCAACACAGGTAAGGACAAGTATCTAAGCGCACTAAGGGAGTCAGAAATAATGAGAAAGTTGTGATCCGGATTAGCGATCGCTATTTTAACAGCTTCATTGAGTGCTGCACTCTCGACTGTGAAAATAGATGCTTTACCAGCATCAGCGCCAGCGCTAAGACTCTGTCCAATTGTGGCTGAAAGTTCAATTTTTCATCTAGGATTAATCCTAAAAATTTTACTTGGGTGCTACATTTGACAGTGCACCCTCCAACTGTAACTGAGGTGTCTCTGAGGGACACGTCTGTTATGAAAATGTAAAAGCTCTGTTTTATGGGGCGCAAGTGACAGGCCAACTATCTGTAGATTTTCTCCTATAGTTTTGACAGATTTTTCTAGAATTCTGGTGCTTTCATGTACTGGCGGACAACTAATGTACAAGGCTACATCATCAGCAAATTGTGAGTCTTGTACATCCCGGTGAATACCATCAGTAATTTTTGACACGTAAATGGTATACAGCAGTGGGGAGAGCACTCCCCCCCTGTGGGACACCCCTGTATACCTTTCTGGGAATTACATTGCACTGGGAGATAATTTCTCTTTCGTATGTAAGGAAATGTACAAACTTGACCAAGTTGATAGGACATACTAAATCAGCCAGTTTTTCAACTAATAGGGTGGTGTCGACATTATCAAAGGCTGATTTTACATTTAGAAAGACTGTGAGTGTCTCGCGGTTCTTTGTAAGATTGTGATCTGAGTATAGAACTATATTGCTTACGTTATCGTGAATCGACCTTCCACTTCTGAAGCCGCTTTGGCTGCTTGGCAGAATATGGTTAAATTCGACCCACCATTGTAGACGATTTTTCACCATCGTTTCAAATAACTTACAGAGATGTGATGAGAGAGCAATCGGTCTAACGTCATGTCCGTTTGACT